TAATAGGAAAAAACAAAAGATGATAGAAAATACTAATATTATTCAAATGGTACAAAAAAATGACAGCCAAACTTTACTTCTATACTACTATTTTGTGAAAATAACTTTGTCAACAAATTCAAATATTACCATCAATACTTAACCAAATGTACTTTTATCAGAATAATGCTCAAACAAAGTTCCTACATCTACCTGCAAATCATTATTCGCAATTTCCTTTTCAACTTTAACTTCATCAGTTTCCTTCTCAACAAACAAATCTTCTTCCACCTTTACAACACTATCCTGCACAGCAATATTGTCCTTCTTTGCACTGTCCGACTCTACAATAACAGTTTCTTCTTTGCTACCACCTACACCTTCCATAGATGTAACAAGTACCTCATCATCATCATCAGCTAATTCATTTTCTACTTTAACTTTCTTTGTGCTTGCTTTCACCCCTACAACAATAACTTCATACTGCACTGACTTGTGTTTCTTACATAATCCACACCTACTAATATATGTCCTTTAAAAACAATTCCTTTTGCTTCAAAGCCTTCTCCTTCCTCTGCAAAATATACATTTTACGCTGACACTCCATAGTATTTATTGACAGCTCAGTCCTCTCTTTCACAGTTTCAATCAACTTACTAGTTGCAGCAGTTATATCCATAATTCCTATAATACACAAACAAAATATTCTTAATAATTGTTGTCTTCATAATACTAATAATAATTGTTGTCTTCATAATACTAATAATAATTGTTGTCTTCATAATACTAATAATAATTGTTGTCTTCATAATACTAATAATAATTGTTGTCTTCATAATACTAAAAATGTAACACTTGTTTATTAACAAACCCCACTGAATTACATCCAATTTCCAAAAAGCAACTTCTAAAACTTCACACCAACTTTTTCAGTAAAATCACTAAATCCTCATTCAATTAAACAGTATTTACTAATATTTGAAATTGTTTAAAATATTAATAACCCTTAAATAAAACACATACATTTAAAGTACAACCTCTAACAAAAACATTTCATTTTAAATCTGTTACTATAAAAAAAATTACAAAAAAGACAAAAATTTTAAATTCGATTAAGAAATAATAATATAAACAAAACACTTACCTTCAATCACAGTAGAAAACTAATGATAGCAAACACTTATCTGCATAACCTATTTATACATAAAAAAAAATTAAAATTAGACATTGATGCCATAATTATTTTTAACCATGATATCCATCCAATCTCTATGAATTGTGCAATTCATATATATTATCTGTAAAAACAAAACAAAACATTTTAAATCAACATAACCCAAACATATTAATTAATTTTAACATTCTTTATTATTTATAAAGAATCACAAAAAAATAAAATTTAAAATCAGTATAATTTTAAACAATTTACATTATTTAGATTACAATTAAAGGAGAACTTCAATAAAACCTCCCAATGACTTTAATCCAAACATATATATTGAACCACCTTACAAATCAAAAGTTTCCATATTATATGATACTAACATACATACTACTGCTAACATTTAAATATGATTTAGAGAAAATATGGAAACATGATTATAAAAATATGTACATGATAAGACAGCCAGTACAAAGAGGGATAACTCTATAATTTTTATCTCAACTTTTGTCTATTTTTCTCTGTCAGATCTAAAAAAAAAATTAGATATAGACTAAAATGTCATTATCCAGGTTAGGAGATTTTCTAAATTTATGTTTTAATTCAAATATATTTACAAATCAGAAATTTCGACATTGTATGATATTAACATACATACTGACTGCTAATAATTAAATATGATTCAGAACAAATATGGAAACATGAATATAAAAATATGTAAATAATAGAAGACAGCCAGTACAAAGAGAGATAACTCTATTATTTTTATCTCAACTTTTTTCCATTTTTCCCAGTCAGATTTACATAAAAAAAATAGACATAGACTAAAATGTAATTTCAATAAATTTATGTTTTTTAAATTAAGAAATTTTTAAAATACACTTTTTAACAATTCTAATCATAGAAACAATATGTATGGAAAATGTCTTGTCACAGTAGCAGCTCTTAGTGTATAGTATGATGTCATTCACCTGCTTTACATGGAAGTTCATCTTTGGACATTGACAACATGATTTTATCACCCTGCAGACAATGGTGGCATGTTCAATATGTCTAACACATTCATTAAAATCTTACATGCACACATGAAAACAAAACCACTTATATTTACAGTGTAGCCATTTCCATTGTCAATTACATATTTAGTATGATCTTCACTGAAACTATGCAAGTTACTTGACTTTCTTCGAAGTGATTGTTGCAATTTTTGTTAATTAAATTTCAACCGTATTTACTTAGGGCCCTGTTATCAAATTGGTCCACATTGAGTTCTAAAGGGTCCAAAATTGAATTTTATTTGATTTAATCAAAAATTGAATTCTTGGGGTTCTTTGATATGCTAAATCTAACCATGTATTTAGATTTTGAATATTGGACCATAATAGGTAAATGTCCAAATAAAAAATTAAGTTCTTAGACCACATTCATTCTGTGTCAGAAACCTATGCTGTGTCAACTATTTAATCACTATCCACATTCAGAGCTGTATCAAGCTTGAATGTTGTGTCCATACTTATATATTTTTGATTACCTCTCTTACACTGCTTGAAAAGTATATATAACAAATGATGATTGTCTTGAGATGATTAGCTGTAAATTTATTTTTAGAAGTTACTATTAATTAATATCAATTTTATCCATGACTGTATGTCATTTTATATTTTAATATTTTATGATGTATTTAAATGAGGAGTTACTGTTGCAGACTCCATGGATCTTTATGAAATTGTACTACAAGGTTCCATATCACATAGGGAAAGCTGGGTTTGAGTTTGGGGGTAATTGCCCTAAACGTTTAGGAATTTGGGGCCAAAAAGGGGCCAAAAAACAAGCATTTTTCTAGATTCCAGACAATAACTTGTGTTCAAGTGTATGGATCTCTCTGAAATTCTGAAGGTACCATGCTACAAAGGGAAGGCTGGGATTGAGTCTGGAGTGATAAATCATAAGGGGGTTCAAAAAATTTGGGGGGAGGGATTTTTTTTCCCTTTTTTTCCTTTTTTTTCTTTAAAATTTTCCATTTTAAATTGGTTATTTCTGATTTATATATAAAAGCAAATAATAATGATATGGTTTCAATAGATAAATCAAGTTTTTTTAAGTTCTTAGACCATATTCATTCTGTGTCAGAAACCTATGCTGTGTCAAATATTTAATCACAATCCAAATTCAGTGTTATATCAAGCTTGAATGTTGTGTCCATACTTGCCCCAACTGTTCAGGGTTCGACCTCTGCGGTCGTATCAAGCTGCGCCCAGCGGAGCATTTTATTAAAATGATACATTGATAACACCGATACAATGTACAGATAACTAAGGACTTTTATATATGTAGAAACGACATTAATGTAGTTTATAGTAGTGACGCTTAGGGAAATTATAGAGCTAATGTCTTGGGTAAAAAGTGCGATTACACCTTTCCTCCCGTTTTGCTCGGGTAATACATAGCTTTAAGTATGTGGATGCTAGGCGTGCAAAGAAATATATTCAACTACTCCTTCATTTCAATGCATACCTATATAAGCTATCGGGAAATTCTTTTCATTGATAACAAATCACTTATATTCGGAAAGTATTCTTACTGAATATTAGTACTTGAAACATTCAATTGATGCACTGATTCAAATGTATTGCAAAATATTCAATATGTGAATAACGACTCTGGAATATTGGTATAGACAAGACCAATGTATAACAACAAAGAGGATACCATGGGTCCTAATAATTTTAGCAAGATTACGCAGGACCAGTGTAAACCATGAAATGTTTTGCCTATACATTTTACCTTCTGTTGTATGTTGTTTTTTTTATGTTTTTGCATTTATTTTTGAGTTTTGATGGACAGGGTGGTCTGTTAAACTTTTTAATATATATAATCGATTGCTTGCTGTTTGCCTTATGTCCAGTGGCAAATATTTCATGCATATTAAAAAAGAGATCCAAATATCTAGTAATACAATAGGTAGGTTCTGCAAGGCTTCCACTGGAAAAGTAGGATGCATTGGATAGGGAAAGAAGATTTGAATTGCAACAGGACACTAGCGGTCCCATTCTAGTCTTCTATAACGTACTGAGAGCGTTGTCATATCCCTACACAAGTCATATAACAATCCTATTCAGATTGGACGTAGCTACGTATTTTAATACAGCAATTTTGCTTTTTGCGGAGTCAAATAGCATTGACCGTATATTGATTAGTGATATACAGTCACTGACAATATATCGCCTTGTTTTTGACGTGGACAATGCATTAAAATAAAAGTTTTATTTATGACGTCATAATACGGATGCGCGGCAAAGCTTCTTTTTCTGTCTGTTTCTAACCCTTGTACAAATAAATGTTTTATTTCAAACAATGTATGGGTTTTCTATATATACAAAACACACAGTCAAAATGGACACTTGACTTAAGTATGGTTCGGAGAGGTCCGGCGATTACCATACTTCTATAACCCAGTCAATCCTTTTGGTATAGAATATGTATTGTGGGTTTTGTAAACCAAATTTCCTTTATTTACTTAAATCAAGCAATTTTTCGTCAGTCACGGTTATTCTTTACCTGTTAATTTTGTTGTATCACATGCCTTGCTATCACTTATCAGTCTTTTAGAAGAAAAAAACACCAATATTGTGCATTTTGTTGATTTTTGGAAGGCTTTTGAGCACTGTTTGCAGTCAACAACAGAAAACAAAAAACATTTGGCAAGTCTTTTTTAACGAACGATATGGAAACGTTGATTGTAATAAAAATTCGATTAATGAATAGGCTGTCAGATCATAACTTTACATACGGGTTGATCTTCAAGAACGAACACCATCACATATCTGATTGCAAACTAAAGCTATTTGTTTTCTTTCAGGGCGTCCTAAAACAAAGACCACAGAGCATGTTATTATATGTACTGTTCTTGCAATTGTACTGACTGTCTTTGCCGTTGTACTTGTCTTTATACTGCGAAGAAAATTTAAAGGTAAGGCCACGGTTTGCTCACCTCCCTTTGTGGATTTAAAATGTTCATTTGATGTCTAAGGTTAAATCAATCCGCAATATTTGGATGTTAAATTCATCCAATATTTTGTATTCAAATGTTCCGGATGTTTTAGCTTTTACAATGAGTATCACTTTTGTTTTTGATAAGAGGTTGACAAATCCGTGGCAATCAATTGGGGCAATATGCGTAATTGATTTTACATAGGCGGTTATGGTAACGTTTCCCTCTGTAGCACAGTCCATATCGTACACTTGGATATGCATGATGGCTCATTTCGAAGCTAAGACATTTGCACATATGTGGTTAAATTTTCGGGGTACGAAGTGTGATTCATTTTTCCGTAAATTAGCACATATTGTCCTCTACTTTTCAAATCAACACAAATGGTTAAGCTCAGTCAATTGTTAAACATAGAAACATGTCTAATATCACTACACAGAGATTTTTTGTTTACACACAACTTTTGTGTTCCTCAATTTGAGGCGCATTAGGGATATTGACCCATATTGAAATCCTTAGTACTGATTTTTCCAAATATTCTTGTGTCATCTTCATTGGTATGACTTTCTGAATAAATCTGTGTATTTTTGTCCATTTCTGAAAGAAAATAAAATTGTTTCAGCACTATAAGGCAATGACCCTTTTATCGTTATATTTGTCAATTCGGAATACAATGTGTAAGTATAATTGATTTCTTCCAGTATACCTTTACTAGTCAAAATATGGATAAAACATCTGAGGATAACCTTCAGTTACAATACACTGACCCTGTTAAAGCATTTAATAAAATTTTCTGATGTCTTAAAGTGCATTTTGACTGAGAAATTATGCAAAAATGTAGATTTCATCAAAAACCCTAAATAAATACTTAATAATTTTTACCACTGGAAATCTGTTATTACAACCTTAGAAACTACTCTTAACTGCTGTGAATGTCATATTTATCATATAATTAAAGCACAACGAAGTGCAAATTTTAAAAACTTGTCCTTTCACATAATTCTATTTAAAGAAAAACTGGAATGATATGTCTGAAACTGAAACAAGACAAAAAATTGACTCCGGTTGTTTTTTCATTTCATTTAAATACAAACTGTACTATTGAGAGAGAAAAAATCAAATTCTTCAAAGTTTTATCACAATAAAAGAGAGATGCTTCTCTCTGATGACTTCACAACCTTCGGTTTAACCTTTTATTATAATCGGTAATAGCTTAATAGCTAAATATGTGAAGCACTTTGTTTTTAAAAGGTTTGACCCTCCCCCTTTTTCACCGTGAAGACAATATCTTGTGATTTGCTACTGTGCATTTAATATAGCAATTATACTTTTCTTTAAATATGTGTGTCTGTTTATTTGCATATTTTAATGACCAGCTGCTTATTAATGATCAAATATTGGTGTAAAACACTTGTATCAAATTATACTCGTACGGAAAGTGTTATTTCCCTTGATTATAACTCAATATAAGCTATTCCTGTACACTGGAATGATAATAACATAACAATGTCTTTAGTGTGTAATGTTGACTTACTATTTAAAAATATTAAATGTTTCCATAAGTAGTTAGTCCCTTTTTCAAGTAAATGACATGTGCCTTCCTTCAGCGTCTCGCTCATGCATATAATTGTTAACAAAGATTTGCCTAAAAGAAGTGCTCCAGCCCCGTGCCAGTCATACATTTCAAATGCGAAAAATGTTGCTGATCTTTATAAATAATGTTAATCAAGAACCAACTGTGATAACTAGGTATTTATAAAAGACAACTAACCTTCATTTTCACAATTTTCTCTGGTGTACAAGATGCAATCATGCATAATTCAGTCTGACAACTTCTCAAATTCATCTTGTAAATTGGGGCAATATGCGTAATTGATTTTACATAGGCGGTAATGGTAACGTTTTCCTCTGTAGCACAGTCCATATCGGAAACTTGGATATGCATGATCGCTCATTGCGAAGCTAAGACATTTGCACATATGTGGTTAAATTTTCAGGGGAACGAAGTGTGATTCATTTTTCCGTAAATTAGCACACCCCGAAAATCCTTTCGTGATGCGGCTCTTGGTGGTAAAAAATCCCTTTTTTCACACAATAAGTTCTTTGAAAATTTAATACTTTTCATACATTTAATAACTGCATTGTTTTTACACATTTATTTTATGGTCCTCTACTTTTTAAATCAACACAAATGGTTAAGCTCAGTCAATTGTTAAAAATAGAAACATGTCTAATATCACTTCACAGAGATTGTTTGTTTACACACAACTTTTGTGTTCCTCAATTTGAGGCGCATTAGGGATATTGACCTAATTGCTTAGGTTTTCAAAACACACTGTCATCGATCTTATGATCTTATTTACAACAACAATGGCTGATGAACACGATATTAATCTTTGCATCACTGATTAGAATACAGAATACAAATTTCCTAAATAAAAACATACATATTTCCATTTAATATGTTAATGTCCTGAAGAAATCGTCTTATGATTCCTAGTATAAAAGATAGATCAGTTTCATAAGTTTCAAGATTGCATGAAATGTAATCAAAACCCTTGTGTTACTGACTTGATCTATTTTGTTTATCCTTGTACAATGTATATATATTGTATTTAATTTGTTCTTTATCGAGGAAATTGTATACTATATATATACGGAATAAAAAGAGAGGCGAAGGATACCAAAGGGACATTCAAACTTACAAGTCGAAAATAAACTGACAACGCCATGGCTAAAAAAGAAAAAGACAAACAGAAAAACAACATTACACGAAACAACATAGAAAACTAAAGACTGAGCAACACGAACCCCACCAAAAACTGGGGGGATCTCAGGTGCTCTTGAAGGGTAAGCAGATCCTGCTCCACATATGGCATCCGTCGTGTTGATCATGTAAGTACAAACCCGGTGATTTGTCTAATTCGAAAGTTCAATTTGGGGGGAAAGGGACGAGATTGTATTTACGACAATTGGAACATATCCGTCGTCATCTGTGAAACAAATATTCCATAACGGTCAACCAACTCGTGATGTTGTCCGTAAAATTTACGAAGGGATGATTTCAACTTCACCACTTGGAACTCTTGGTTTAATAGCTTCCCTATGAGCAGCAGCACTCTATCAAGGAAATCATGATAGGAAATACAAGTACTGGAATATGGTTCAAGTAGGAGGTATATACTCCGTATGCAGGAGCTGCTGGAATGTTGCTACATAGAAATGGAAAGTTAACAATTGGGAACCTGAAATTATCTCTTTTGTCGTAAAGTTTTGTTTTCAACCGACCCTCATTGTCATTTTTATACGACCGCAAAAATTAAAAATTTTTTGGTCGTATATTGGTATGACGTTGGCGTCGTCGTCGTCGTCGTCGTCGTCGTCGTCGTCGTCGTCTGGCGTCGTCCGGCGTCGTCCGAAGACACATTGGTTTTCGCACTCTAACTTTAGTTTTAGTGAATGGATCTCTGTGAAATTTTACCACAAGGTTCAATACCACAAAAGGAAGGTTGGGATTGATTTTCGGGGTTATGGTACCAACAGTTAAGGAATTAGGGGCCAAAAAGGGGCCAAAAATAAGCATTTTTGTAACTTCCAGACATAACTTGTGTGTTAGTGTATGGATCTCTCTGACATTGTACCACAAGGTTCCATATCACAAAGGGAATGCTGGGATTGATTTTGGGGGTAATTGCCTCAAAATTTAAGGAATAAAGGGCAAAAAAAGGGGCAAAAAACAAGCATTTTATTAGTTTCATGATAATAACTTGTGTGTAAGTGTATGGATCTTTCTGAAATTGAACTACAAGGTTCCATATCACAAAGGGAAAGCTGGAATTGAGTTTGGGGGTAATTGCCCAAAATGTTTAGGAATAAGGGGCCAAAAAGGGGCCAAAAATAGCATTTTTCTAGTTTCCAGACAATTACTTGTGTTCAAGTGTATGGATCTCTCTGAAATTGTACTGCAAGGTACCATACCACAAAGGGAAGGCTGGGATTGATTTTGGGGGTAATTGCCTCAAAATTTTAGGAATTAGGGGCCAAAAAGGGGAAAAAAACAAGCATTTTTCTAGTTTCAGGACAATAACTTGTGTTCAAGTGTATGGATCTCTCTGAAATTGTACTGCAAGGTTCCATACCACAAAGGGAAGGCTGGGATTGAGTTTGGGGGTGATGAATCATAAGGGGGTTCAAAAAATGTGGGGGGGGATTTTTTTTTTTCCTTTTTTTTCTTTTTTCCTCTTTTTTTCCTTTTAAAATTTTCCATTTTAAGTTGGTTAGATCTGATTTATATTTAAAAGCAAATAATAATGATATGGTAGGAGATACACACCAAACAGGATGTGTAAATTATTATATAATAAGTATTGTGCAATAGCAAGAAATTTTCAATTGCACAGTATTGCACAATAGCAAGAAATCTTCAATTGCACAGTATTGCGCAATAGCAAGAAATCTTCAATTGCACAGTATTGCGCAATAGCAAGAAATATCCAATAGCACAATTTTGCGCAATAGCAAGAAATTGTCAATTGTACAGTATTGCACAATAGCAAGAAATATTCAATTGCACAGTATTGTGCAAAAGAAGATACTTCGTATAAATTGCTTATTTCTTGACCAATTTCAATGGGGTTTTATTCTTGAATTCTTGGGGTTCTTTAATATGCTGAATCTAACCGTGTATTAAGTTTTTGGATTTTGGGCCCCGTTTTTAAATTGGTCCACATTGAGGTCCAAAGGGTCCAAAATTGAACTTTGTTTGATTTCATCAAAAATTGAATTATTGGGGTTCTTTGATATGCCGAATCTAACCGTGTATTTAGATTCTTAATTTTTGGTTCCGTTTTCAAATTGGTCTACATTAAGGTCCAAAGGGTCCAAAATTAAACTTAGTTTGATTTTAACAAAAATTGAATTCTTAGGGTTCTTTGATATGCTGAATCTTAACATGTATTTAGATTTTTGATTAT